AGCACGTTTCGCCCGAGACATCGTCGCAACTCTGGGGTCCGAAATGCCGCGCGCGAGGTGGTCCAGCCCGTTACGCTGGAGACATCCTCGCAACTCCGGGCTCCGAGACGCCGTTCGGGATGAAGAGGAGGTGGAGGAGCAGGAGGAGGAGCAGGAGGAGGAGGAGGCATGTTTTAACATGCCATGCCAGCCCGCACTGGACGGGCACGCAATCGACCTTGGAAACCGCAGTAGGTCTAAAAACCCTGTTTGGGGATACTGCACTCCGGCTATATTTTTAATCCCCCTTCCTTACAAATAACTTCTCTTCGCTCCACGAGACGCGTCGGTAGGACATGCGTAGCGTTTCGACTGGGACCACCTCACGGGTTAGACACTGAAGCTTGAGAATCCCAACAGCTATACGGATGAAGCACTAATGATTTTCAAAATGTGGCTCTCGCCGTAGCACCGCGTAAAGTCGTCGTCGAAGCGACGCAAATTACACGCCAGATCGTTTTCAAAATGCGGCCTTCGCCTCAGCGCCGCGCACTGTATAGTCTTGAAAAAGAAGGTGCAACTTGCATGGATGCCGGGCGGTTTATGGATGTGCCCGTGGGGACTCGGGACTGGAAGGCGCATCGCAACATCGCGGGTGTTTCCTAGAATCCTCCTCCTCCACGGACGACGACGACGACGACGACGACGACGACGACGACGACGACGACGGCGACGACGACGGCGGCGGCGGCGGCGGCGGCGGCGGCGGCGGCGGCGGCGGCGGCAAGGGTGGCGGCGGCCGCGGCGACGGAGTCGACGAGGACGGCGCGCAGCTGAGGCACGCGGCGGCGACGACGGCGACGACGTCCTCCTCCTTCGACGACGACGACGACGACGACCACGTCAAAAACGGTGGACGACCGACGACAAACGGCGGGGACGACGGACGACGACGGACGGAGGACGACGACGACGACGACGACGACGACGACGACGACGACGACAACGGCAACAACGACAGACGACGGACGACGGACGACGGACGACGGACGACGACGACGACGACGACGACGACGACGACGACGACGAGGACGACGACGACGACGACGACGACGACGACGACGACGTCCAGCGGCCCTCCTCCCCCGCCGACGACGGCGACGACGGCGACGACGACGGCGGCGACGACAACGACGACGACGACGATGTTTGGCGGCGGCACACCTCCCCCGACGACGACGACGACGACGACGACGAGGACGACGACGACGTCTGGCGGCGGCCCACCTCCCCCGACGACGACGACGACGACGACGACGACGACGACCGGCGGCGGCCCTCCTCCGCCGACGATGACAACGACTGAGACGACGACGACGACGACGACGACGACGACGACGACGACGACGACGACGGCGACGACGACGACGACGATGACGACCACCACGACGACGACGACGACACACGGCAGCCGCCCGCGGCGACGACAGCGGCGGCGCTCCTCCGCGGAGCTGCCCGCGCTGCTCGTGGCGCGGCTTGCGCTGCCCCCACGGCTCGCGGAAGGGCCGCCAGGGCCCTCGCCGAGTGGGGAGTCCTGGGCCGCAAGGCCGCCAGCACCAGTCACTGACTGCAGCTGGTCGTCGTCGTAGCCGCCGCTGGACGTCGTCGTCGCCCGAAGCCGTCGTCTTCGTCCGTCGTTCTCGTCGTGGTCGTCGCCGCTGGTCGTCGCCGCTGGTCGTCGCCGCTGGTCGTCGTCGGAGAAGGAGGAGGATGAGGAGGAGGAGGAGCAGGAGGAGGAGAAAAAAAAGGAGGAGAAGGAGGACGTCGTCATCGCCGCCGTCGCCGCTCCCGTCGCTCACCGGCACTCGGCCGTCCGTCATCCGTCGTCGCCGGGGACGTCATCGTCGTAGTTTTCGAATGACGCCGCCGCTGGTCGTCGTCGTCGCCGCCGCTCCTGCCGTCGCCGGTCGTCGCCATGGTCGTCGCTGTCGCCGTGGCTGTCGCCGCCACAGTTTTCGCCGTCGAAGCGGAGGGGGTGTGCCGAAATGGGGGCGGGGCCGCCATGCGAATTTTGCCACTAGTGCCTTCGGTGGAGTTCCCTGTGGGGCCACGAAACTTGCGAGGGGGTACCGAAACGTGGGCGGGGCCGCCATGCGAACTTTGCCACTTGGGCCTGCGGTGGAGCTCCCTGTGGCGCCACGAACCCCTTCATGGCACGACGCGCACGAACCCCAATCAGCGCGACGCGTCCCCTTCCTCGCTTCCGGTTGGCGTTTCCCGAAACGACGCACCGGCGAATGATTTGCGCACGGGTGGGAAGCATACCGCGTCGGTCAACCATCGAACTACAGTGCACCACGAATGCAAAGCTGGCTGCTGTTGCACCAACGTCGGAAACCAAGATGCCACCCAGGAAATCAGGAAGTCACGCCAGATGTCGCCCGCACACACTGGGAGGTCGGGGTTAGGGACAGAGGAGATGCAAACCAGGGCTGGCGCACGGGCGACACACGGGGGGGCTACTCACTGGGCCTCAACACCTCGATCCGCGTAACTGCTGCCAACTTGCACTACCAGTGTGCGCACCGCTCATGCGAGAGTCCCATTTTGAAAACGGCCCGCTCTGCGTCCATGTAAATGTCGCAAGTTTTCTGCCGCATGCGCAAAAGGCCAAAGCGAAACCCCGTCAAAAAAACGTTCCGTGCTCCACCCGCGTAGCTAGTAGAAGTTTCAAGCTCCCAAATCATAGAACCTGAGGAAGTCTCAGGCGAAACGCCCAGCCACCCATAACGACACGCCTGATAACGCGACAGGGAGGAGGAGGAGGAGGAGGAGGAGGAGGAAGACGAGGACGAGGACGAGGACGAGGACGAGGACGAGGACGAGGAGGACGACGAGGAAGAGGAGGAGGAGGAGGAGAAGGAGAGGGAGGGGGAGGGGGAGTTGGAGGGGGAGGGGGAGATTATCTGTAAGGGAGGGGGATGGAGCAACAGAAGCAGGAAGGGAGAGGGAGGGAGGAGGAGGAGCAGGAAGGGACGCAGGAACAGAAGGGAGGGAGACGAGACGCGCCAGAGGAAGGCAGGAAGAAACACCGGGGAGGAGAGGTAGAAGGTAAGGGGGGAGGAAGAAGGAAAGGAGTGGCGAGAAGCAGGGAGGGAGGAGGAGGAAGGAGGCAGGAGGGAGGGAGGGAAGAGGGAGGGAAGGAGGGAGGGAATGAGGAGGGGGGGGGGAGAAAGAGGGAGGGGGGGAGGGAGGAGGGAGAAGGGAATCGGGAACATAGAACGGAGGGAGGAGGAGGCAGGGGGGAGGAAGGAAACGAGGGAGGAATGAGAGAGGCATGAAGAGAGAAAGACGCCAGGAATAGGAAGCAGGGAGGCGAGAATGGAAACTGCGGAGGAAGCAGGGTGGGAAGCGGAAAGAGGGAGCAGGGTCAAGGAGAAGGGGAGTTGAAAATACACGAGGGAGAAGGGAAGACGAGGAGGGAGCAGGGAGCAACAAGCAGAGGGAGGGAACCGGGGTGTGGAGCAGGGAGCATAAGGAAGCAGGGAGAAGAGAGGAGAGAAGAGGGAGAAGGGGGGATGAATTGAGGGTGGCGGCTGTGATAGTTGCAAAGGGGTTTCCTGTTTTGGAATTCCTTTATAAGCCTCGCAAGGCCAACTTGCAACAAAGGGCTTGTTGTAAAACCGCGGTTTTGCAACAGAAGGTTTTTTTGCAACACCCCAGTTTTGCAACATCTCCGTTTTGGACGTCCCAGCGATCTTGTTGAATCAAGACGATTCTGACCCAACTCGGAAAAAGGTGCCGAAACGTTGATTCTAAGCGAAATGGGAAGATCTAAGACTTTGTTGCATCAAGACGATTGTGGCCCAACTCGGAAAAAGGTGCCGACACGTCACGTTTCGGCACAGTTTCCGATCTGCCTCCTTCGTTTAGGATCCACGCCACGTTTCAAACGTGGCGTGGATTCTAAGCGAAGGAGGCAGATTTGCTGCATCAAGACAAGCGTCGCCCAACTCGGAAAAGGTGCCGAATTGGGCAAGCCCATCGCAGTGCAGGACAGGACGCCCCTATGCAAAGTACCAGAGCCGCTTGAAAAAACCCTCGCCCTCCTCTCTTCCTCCTCCCTCCCCCCCCTTCCGACCGACGACGACGACGACGACGACGACGACGACGACGACGCGCGTCCAGATCGGGCACCCCAGCCAAACCTTCAGGAACGGGAGGGGGCCGAACAGCATTGCACGTAGGCACCAGATGGCCCAAAAGGGCCCAACCAGAGCACCAGAGGGGTGCAGCCCCACGCCCAGGCCCACCCCAAGACAGGTGGCGGAGAGGCGAAAGCCTGAGGCAAAAAAAAACCCGCGGTCGTCGCCGCCGCCCCCGTCGTTGTCGCAAACACGCGGCTCACTTGATCATTGAATCATTGATCATGCTGCGCGCTTCCGACGGCGACGACGGCGACGACGAGGAAGAAGGAGGGGAGAGGGACGATGATGAGGAGTTGGAGGGGCCACTTCCAAGTGCCCCGGGTGGCAATCGGCGGTCGCCACTCGCTCTTGCAAGGCTGCACTGCAGGGCGCAAATCGCCCTGTCCATCGCGGCAGACGGAGACTGGGAGCGGGGGCTGAGGTCGGTAAAACGATGGGTATTGTTAGCTGGGGCCGGTCAGTATAATTGGTTGTCTGCTGAGGTTTGTAGGTCTTAGTATGTGAGCTAAAGTCCATAAGTGGCTTTGTACGTTAGCTGAGGTCGGCTGTATGTTAGCTGAGGTCGGTTAGAGAGGAAAGACTGTGACAGCGGCCAGCCCCCTAGCCCTTCTTGGGAGCGGCAGCTCTCTTGGCCCTCTTGGCGCTCGGGGCGGGGCCAGTGAGTTCGGCGGCCCTGGCCCTGTGAGCCGCGGCCACTGCCTGCTCGACGAATGCCGCCAACCCAGCAGGAAGGGAAGCGGTCGCGCGCTGCACTTGTTCCGCAGTCGCGCCGAGAGTCGCAACCGACGATCGAAAGGCTGGCGAGATAAGCGCCTGCGAGGCAACTAGCGAGTCGATCCACTCCACGGCCTTGCTCCCCCATGGCCCATGGGCGGCCGCTCCGCCCCCCAGGTCGGCCACTGGCTTCCCCGCTAGGCGGCCCACGAGATCCACGACGTTGTTCGTCATATTGAGGATGGTTTTGTACGAGCTGTAAAGCTCCGCTGCCTCGGGGGTCGAGAAGGCAGTAAGCATCTTGGGGTGGTCCGCATCCGTGGGCTCCTTCTTGCAGGCCGATGCGTACATGGCGACGAACCCCTCATTGGCATTCCACTTGGCCGCCCAGGCTGCGGTGGAGCCCCCAACGAACTGCGAGCACGCATCGACCGTGGCCGAGTCCAGCGCCTCTCGCATTTTGGTGAAGGCATCCGCTGCAGATCGCACCAGCGGGGCTCGAACGCCTTTCTCCTCGGGGGAGATGGCTAGGAGCAACATGAGAAGGGCGGGGGTGGGGAGGGGGGAGGCGAGGGCGGGGGGGGGGCCTCCTCCGCCCTCACCCCTCACGCTCCTCCGCGTCGTCGTCGTCGTCGTCGCCGCCGTCGTCGTCGTCGTCGTCATCGTCGTCGCAATCGTCGCCGTCGTCGTCGTCGTCGTCGTCTCACCCCGCCCTCATCCCCCGGAAGAGTTCGGGCCCCGCCAGTCCGACATGCGCTCGGCGAGCGCCGCGAGCTCCGCCGCCCCCTTCGCGAACCCGATCCTGCGCTGCCAGCGCTCGGTGCACTCCTCGACGAGGCCGTCGCTGATGATGCGCGCGTCCTGGCACTTCATGTCAGAGGCCTTGGCGACCGCGACCATCCTGGGGAACGAAACCACATGAAAGACGTTGGTCGCCCCCCGAACCTTCTGCTCCTTGGTTTCCAATGCGAGAGTTGCCTGCGTGAAGTCAGCAGGGAGCCATTCCACCAAACTCGAAAAGAATATTTCGTCGTCGATCGCCAGCTGCATCTTGAGGTACTGAACGAAATCCTTCCACTTGGCATCGTTGGCACCAATTTCGTCGAGGTCAGACCTCCACGAGGCGAGGGGCGCAGCGGCGTGGCTCTGAGACAGCTTCGCTCGCACGGTGTCTAACACGTGCCCCTGGAGCTCGCGCACAAAGTCAGCGACGAATGGGAAAGCATCGTCCCCGACAGGGGCGCACCGAAACAGATACTCCCGAAACGGTTGGAAGGTCGACGATGCCACGTCGCACTTGCCCTTGCTGTCCGCGGCGGTGAAGGGCGGAAAGTGGTTGCTCAAGTGGGCGGTCAAGGCCTCCAAGGACTCTGTCTGCTCCTTGATGCGGAGCACTCTGGGGTCGTCATCCCTCGCAACGGCCGCCAACTGCTTGCCAATCTCAGCCGAAGTCTTCGCGGTGACCTCAGCGGGCGAGCCACTGCCAATCAGCGACGCGGCCGCGCATTCCTTGCCGACGCTATGGGAGGCCAGCTGCGCCTTCAAGGTATCCACCGCTGGTCCCAGGGCACCATGGACAGCCTGTACGAACGCATCGGCCAGTAGCTCGACTGCCAAGTCCACGTGGCCCCGAACATTGGCAATATTAACCTTGTTCGCCTGCTTGAACGGGTCCTCGCTGGCATCGAACTTACAAAGGTGTGCGAACAGGCCCTTCCACTGCTTGGCCTTTTGCAGCGCGAGGGCGCCATCGTTGAGCTTCGCCCCCTTGCCAATCTCGCCAATCAACTGCATGGCCGCGTTCAGTTCCGAGGCGCCCTGGGTATCAGCGAGCATCTGGAGAATCGCATTCCCGACCGTCTGCGCGATGTGCAGCCCCGTGGCCCGCGCACCCAACATGTACCCCACGTAAGTCCGCTTCCTGCTCTGCAGCGCCTTCAACTCAGGCAGCTCCATCGGCCCGCCTTCACCAATACTCGCCAGCGCGAGCTTCTCCAAATCATCGAGCTCCACCCTCAAGCCGTCGGCGAGAATCCTCAATGTGTCAATGGAAGTGAGGAAGCTGATAACATTCTTCATATTGCCTTTCTCACTCATCAGGGCATCAAGGTCACTGCAGATGCGCTTGCGCTGGGTGGTCTCCTGAACTGTCTCGGGCATCGCGTTAATCCCATGGCTGCAAATCATTGGGCCCCCATCAGGGTCCAGCAAGGCAACGTACTCAGGCGCCCCGAACGTCGCGCCGTTCAACGCCGCGTGCACCACCCTGTGGAGCCCGACCCCGCTACCCCCCTTCCCTCCCCAGAGCTCCTCCCGCCCCGCCTCCCCCATCCTCCTCATCATGCCCCCCACCCCCCACCCCCATCCTCCTCCTCCTCCTCCTCCTCCTCCTCCCTCCTGCCCCTCCTCCTCCTCCTCCTCCTCCTCCTCCCCTCCTCCTGCTCCTCCCCTCAAGTCCCCATGATCGCCCCTCCTCCTCCTCTCTCCTCCGCCCCCCCCCCCCCTCCCCCCTCCTCCGCCAAGCCGGCCTGGAACGGCACGACGGGTGCATCTGAACGCCCAGGCGCGCGCACTCCGCGATGGCGGAGGCCACTGCGCCCGCGTCTGGCGGAAGCGCGTCCGAGCGCAAGGCGTACTCCATCACCGACTGCAGCTTGGACTCCAACCCTTTGAGGTCCGAGAAGATGCGCATGCCGTGCGAGTCCGAGTCCGCCTCACCAGGCACCATGCCAGCACTGTAGATTGCAGCCATACCTGGGCCTAAGCGCTTCTGGACCGCGTCAAGCTGCTTCTTGGACTCAGCCTGGATGTTGCCCACGCCGCCGTAGAGCTCGCGGTCGCTCAGGGCGCGGATGTACTGCGTGGCTGTCAGCGCCACGGCCTCACTGGCGTTCAACTGCCCGGCGCCTGCACCCGACGCGGGCGCCCGAACTCCGGTGGAAGACGCAGGCGCCAGGGACTGGGACTGCGACGACGAGGCAGCGGAACGGCTTCTCCTTCCCTGCGCCGTCACAAATGATGGCCCGTCCGACGCAGGCTCAAAGAGGGCGTCCAGCATGCTAAAATCGTCACCTTTCCTCGTGGACATGTTGAGTTTGTTTGCCAATACGGGGGCCTCAGATGTGCCGATGTTGACATGGCTATGCCTTGCAAGTTTGCGCTTCTTGGCGGCATTCCAAACTTCGTCGACGTCTTCTTGGTCCATGTGCTTCGAGTCGGCGATGTTGCCAACCATCCTGAGCTCGTTCACGAGCTCGTCCGTCAACGCGTAGGTGCCGATGGGCTCCCCGTACGACTTGTCCCGAACAGCGCCGAGAATCATGCCGTCGGAAGTCGGCAAGCGCTGCAACTCCTTGGGGTGGCACTCTGGCAGGGAGTGCTGCTCAGCGTACTCGTTCCACATTAGCTTCGGCCAGAAAACGCCAATATTCTTAGATATGCCGAGCTCCTTCCCCTGAGTCGCCTGAACCATGCGACGAGCGCCGCTTTCGTGTTGCTCCCTCCGTCTTGACCGCTGCGCCTCGCCTCGCATGCCCTTCTCGTAGCTGTCAAGAGTGTCATCGTAGTCGCCCTGGTCCAGCTGACCGCTCTGGAGCTTCTGTTGGACTGACTTCGCGGTCTCCGTGGGGTAATTGTTGTAAACGTTCTGGACGCATGGGGAACAATAGTTGCTCCTCTCGGACCGCCGAGGCAAATTGGGGACCAACCATCTCTTCTTTTCGTTAGGGTTGGGCGACCCCCAGCTGCGGAGACAAATGTCGCAGCCCGGCCCAGAACCCCGCGTATTCTCGCCGAGCGAGCACATCGAAACCGAGCCGAGCGCGAGGACCGTGAGCTTGAAAGATGGATGATATGGACGATATGGAAAAGCAGCAGAGCTGCCGCTGAACATGCACATGGAACTGTGAACTGAGATCAGCACCCTGAAAGTCGTAGCCTAAAACTGCTACGGAGGAGGAGGTGGAGTGGAGTGGACGGAATGGAGTGGATGAGGAGGGGAGTGGAGTGGAGACGGGATGGAGGTGGAGAGGACGAGGAGGTGGAGTGGAGTGGGAGCGGGATGGAGGAGGAGGATGTGGAGTGGAGTGGAGGCGGGATGGAGGTGGAGTGGATGAGGAGGGGCTCCGCCCCCTCGGGCAAGGATCACATCATGACGAGCGTCGGCCCTCATGGGGCGCTGGAACCCCCAGACACTGGAGCCCCTTGGAAGCCATGGAGGGACCCTGGGCGCTTTGGAGACCTGGAGGCCTCCATAGACTCTCGGAGATTATGGAGACTACGAAAGCCTTATGGACTGGAGACTCTGGAGACCCTGTGCCCTTGAAGCCCCTAGGGGGGGCCATGGGGATACGCTAGAAACCATTGAGACCTGAAGACCTCCAGATGCTCTGGGGGCTAGGAGGATCGAAGCCCTAAGAGGCCCGAAAGACTCTGGAGACAAGCGTATCTAAAACCCCTAGGCCCTGGGAGTCTGGATGCACCGAGCCGCAGGAGCCCCCGACCCCAGGACCCCGCACGGGCGCGGACCTCATGATGGGAGCGGACCCAAGGACCCCAAAGGTTAGGTGAAGGGCACGTTTGCCTTCTCACCGACCGTCGCTCACAGCATCGGCATCGGCCTTACTGAAATAAACATTTCGCCGTTCGGGGTCGCACTCCCAACTGGCGGGAGAATCATCCGCTCAGACTGGCAATCTAATAGGGCGACCACCCTGGCGGCGGCTGGCCCATGAAAACAAACTTGGGAATGCCTGGCCCTGGCCCTGGCGGTTTCGCCATGGCCAAAACCTGGGTAGCGTGGGCCCTAGTGTTGGAACCATCGAGCAGATGCACTGGTGGTGGAAGCAAAGGAGGCTTCGGGAAGTGCGCCAGGGGCGGAGTCCTGGGGGTCCCAGTGCAGCCGCCCGCCGTGCCCGCCGTGCCCACCGCACTGCCCTTGCCGCCAAGAGGAATGTAGGAATCGCTGCCCTTGCCGCCAACAGGAATGGCGTCGTTGCCGCCCATGCCCCTACCATCGGGGCGGCGAGCATGGGCATGGCCTTCGCCTTCGGCTGGAGGCTGGCCATACCGTCGCCGCCCATGCCACCCGCGCCGTGCACCCCGTTGCCGCCCATGCCGCCCATGCCGCCCGTGAACTGCGAGTTGCTGCCGTCCATCGCCATCGCGGGGCGCGCCACGGAGATCGGCGCGGCGGTGAAACCGCGCCCACCCATGCCGCCAACGCCGCCCGTGCCGCCCATGCCGCCACCGCCACACCCATCACGGTGGCCGCCCATGTCGTCGTCGCGCATCAGCACCACCATGCCGTAGCCGCAGCCGCCCTTGCCGCCGCCAACATTCCGGTAGATCCCGCAGCCACCTGGAATTGCGCCCTCGAACCGCTCGCCGCCGTGCTGCCCATGCCCAACTGCGAAGACATTCCGCGCCATCGCTTGGTCGTCACTCGGCGGTGGCGTCGCATTCCCAGCAGGGGGCCGCTGTAGCGCACCATGCACATCATGGGTCGGCGTCGGCGGTGGCGCATCAAGCGCCTGGATCGGCGTCGGCGCGGCATGCGCATGGGCTCGCGTGGCGCAGCCCCCGTCGCCTCCGCCCCCCGTCGCCTCGCCGCCTCCGCCGCCCCCCCCCGCCGCCCCTGCCGCCTCCCCCGCCGCCTCCGTCGACGTCGACGTCTCCAGTAGGCCCTGCAGGAAGTGGAAACCCCCTTGACTCCGTTGTGCTGGATGATGGGCCAGGAATGCAAAATCTGGTTGCGCCGTCTGGGTGCGAATAGCATCCGCCTCGGCGCCCCCGCCGCCGAACTTGCAAGTGCAAACTATTAAGGGGTCGAGGGGAGGGGAGGGGGGCGTCAACAATTGAGGGGTGGACTGGAGGAGGGAGGAGGGGAGGGGGGTCTAAACTATTAAGGGGCGGAGGGGAGTGTCAACCATTGAGGGGCGGACGGGGAGGGGAGGGGTGAATGAGCAGAGGACGAGGGGAGGGGAGGGGAGGGGAAGGGAGGGCCGGATTCCGGATTGCGGAAAATGAACCGAAGGCATTTGAATAGGAAGCCCGAAATTGTCGCGCTCTCGTGAACTCGCCACGGCTGGCCACTCACTGACTGGACCATCTGGGTGAGGGTAGGTATGAATTTTCCACTTAGACGCGCCATAAGTGCATGAGTTATCAGGAGAGACTGAGACTGCGTCAAACATATGCCGATGACATCTCTGAACTTAAATTGCTGCAAGATTGATGCGGAGAAGAAGCTCGGGCATTACATATGGGCCCAAACCAACGACGCATTGCATTGCTGACACCAAACACCGCGGGCCCCAAACAGACCTCCACGGACGATGCACTAAACGTTGGAAGTGCATGCTACGTGAGGTCAGGCATGTCGCGTTAGCATATGGGCAAAACTGAAGCTAGATGTGGGGGGCATCTGTTTCAGGCGCAGCCCAAATTTTTTCCCGGCCATCCTGTGGTGTTGGGTCCTCGTTTTGAAGAGACAGCGCCCCGCGTTCCTCTCCTCTCCTTCCTCCTCCTCCTCCTCCTCCTCCTCCTCCCCATCCTCATCCCTCCTCCGTCCTCCCCCTCCCCCCTTCTCCCAGCCCTTGCCCCTGCCTTCACGATGTCTCTGTTTCGGCAAGCCCGTCACACGCTTCGTGGCCCCATAGGGAGGTCCACCTATGGTCCCAGTGGCGCGGATCGCATGGCGGCGCCGCCGCATTTTGGCACAGCCCTCACACGCTTCGGCCCTATAGGGAGCTCCACCTAAGGTCCCAGTGGCGCAGTTCGCATGGCGGCGCCGCCCCATTTGGGCACGCACGCTTCGTGGCCCCATAGGGGGGCTCCTCCTAAGGTCCCAGTGGCGCAGTTCGCATGGCGGCGCCGCCCCATTTTGCCCCACATACACACACACACACACACACACACACACACACACACACACACACACACACACATGAGAGGGCACGGGATTAAAAATAGGACCGAATAGCACCGAGTACACACACACACACACACACACACACACACCACACGTTTCGCGACCCCCCAGGGAGCTCCACCGAAGGTCCCAATGGCGCAGTTCGCATGGCGGCATTCTTGGCGCACCCCTCACACGCTTCGTGGCCCCATAGGGAGCTCCACCTCAGGTCCAAGTGGCGCAGATCGCATGGCGGCGCCGCCCCATTTTGGCGCGCCCCTCACACGTTCCGTGGGACCATAGGGAGCTCCACCCAAGGTCAAATGGCGCAGTTCGCGCGGCGCCGCCGCCCCATATTAGGCAGACCCCCCGCGCGTTTCGCGGCCCCAGAGGGAACCCCACCTAAGGTCCCAGTGGCGCAGTTCGCATGGCGGCGCCGCCCCGTTTTGGCACACCCATCGCACGCTTCGCGGCCCCATGGGGAGCTCCACCTAAGGTCACAGTGGCGCAGTTCGCATGGCGGCGCCGCCAAATTTTGACACACCCCTCACGCGCTTCGCGGCCCAAGAGGGAGCTCCACCTAAGGACTCAGCGGCGCAATGCGCACGGCGGCGCCGCCCCATGTTGGCGCACCCCTCACACGCTTCGTGGCCCCATAGCGAGCCCCACCTAAGGTCGCAGTGGCGCAGCTTTCATGGCGCCGCCGCCCCATTTTGGCACACCCCTCGCACGTTTCGCGGCCCCATAGGGGGGTTCCACCTAAGGCCCCAGCGGCGCAGTTCGCACAGCACCGCGCCCCATGTTGGCACACCCGCCTGGTCGGAGGTGAATGGCTCGGGCCCCGGCAGTTCTCGGTAGGAGGTGAGTCGTTCGGGCCCCGCAGTTCTCGGTCGAAGGTGAATCGCTCGGGACACGCAGTTCTGGGTTGGAGGTGAGTCGGTCGGGCCCTTCTGTTTTCGATTGGGTGTGAATCGCTCGGGCCCCTCAGTTCTCGGTCGGAGGCGAGTCGTTCGGCCCCCTATTTCTTTGCCATCGGGGGGCCCGCCAAAGGCTCAAGTGGCACAGTCCGCATGGCGGCGCCGCCCCATTTTGGCACACCCATCACGCGCTTCGTGGCCCCATCGGGAGCTCCACCTAAGGCCCCAGTGGCGCAGTCCGCATGGCGCCACCGCTTTATTCTGACACACTCCTCCTCGCACGCTTCGTGGCCACATTGGGAGCCCCACCCAAGGCCCCACCCCTTCACACGCCCCGTTGCCAAAGGGTGAACTCCACACCAGGCCCCAGCGGCGCAGTCCGCATGGCCGTGCCGCCACATTTTGGCACACTCATCGCGCGCTTCGGTTGCCCCATGGGGAGCTCAACCGAATGCCAAAGCGACAGGGTTCGCATGGCGCGCGGCCAACGGGTTGGGCGAGTGGGGGAGGGGAGGGGAGGGGGGGGGGGGGGGGGAAGGGGCGGGTGGGTGTTACATAGCGCGCGCGGCCCAAGGGTGATAGGGCGTAGCGGCGTTGGCGGCGGGCGTGCGGCGGTGGCGGCGGGGGGGGGGGGGGGGGGGTGGCCGAGGGGAGACCGGGGGTGGGGGCAGGTCCTCAACGCGCGCGGCCATGGGGTCGCAGGGGGGGGGGGGGGAGGGAGGGGGGCCAATAGCGCGCGGGGCCCCAGGCGGTGGCCCTGGGGCGAAGGGGCGGCGTGGGCGGGAGGGGGGGGAGGAGGAGAGGGGCGGGGGGGGGAAGGGGGGGGGGGCACTCAGCGCGCGGCCCAGCGCAAGCGAGTGGGCGGGTCACGACGGCGTTGCGAAATTGTTGCGAAATTGTTGCGAAACCGGGCTGGCGTTGCGAAACTGTTGTGAAACTGGTGCGAAACTGTTGCGAAACTGGGCTGGTGTTGCGAAACTGTTGCGAAACTGTTGCGGAACTGTTGCGAAACTGCTGCGAAACCGTCGCGTGCCGACATGGGCGATGCAGCATCGAATTGTAGCAAAACAACGCTGACACCGCGTTGCGAAACTGTTGCGAAACTGTTGCGAAACTGTTGCGAAACTGGTGCGAAACTGCGCTGGTGTTGCGAAACTGTTGCGAAACTGCTGCGAAACTGGGCTCGTGCTGCGAAACAGTTGCGGAACTGTTGCGAAACTTGGTTGGTGTTGCGAACTCGTCGCGGCGCCTCTGCGCGCGGTAAAATTGAGCGGTGCTGGAAGGTCGAAATGGACGCGGGGCGGCGCCAACGCGCGACCGCCAACTCCCCGCCGACAACGTGCCGCCCGCAAACATGCTAACCCGCCCGATCACTCCCTCCAATCCACTGCAATGCGCTCATTACGACGATCCGAACCCTGACATGCACTCGCTTCCACATGCTGCAAGAAAGAGAAGCAAGGTTGGCCTCGTAATTAAACGCGAAGCCGAACTCGTTCAATGATACGACCCGCAGTCGCGATGCCAAAGAAGCGACGCGGCAAGCTTGACGGCCCATCACCTAACGACGATGCTGCGCCTGCGAGACGCAACATTATCATGGCGAAGGGCACAACCATATGCAGTTCTGAGTAACACAACTGCGAGACCTGGATTCGGGAGAACTCCCTATGAGGCCACGAAACGTGTGACGGGCGGGCCAAGATGGGGGCGACGCCCACACGTCAGCACTGCCACTTGGGCCTTAGGTGGGGCCCCCCATATGGGGCCATGGAAAATTAGCCTGGCGAAGGACCCAACCATATGCAGTTGTAAACGCCATCGTTGTTAATATCGCGTTCGGTGGGTTCACCCCCGACCGAGAACCGATGGGGCCCGAACGACTCACCCCCGACCAAGACCTGAGGGGCCCGAACGACTCACCCCCGACCGAAAACTGAGGGGCCCGAACGACTCACCTCCGACAGAGAAGTCAGGGGGCCGAACGACTCACCCCCGACTGAAAACTGAGGGGCGGCGCCGCCAAGCGGACTGCGCCACTGGGCCCTTCGGTGGAGCCCCCCGTGGGGCCACGAAGCGTGCGGGGAGTGTGCCAACATTAAGCGGCGGCGCCATGCGGACTGCGCCACTGTGACCTTAGGTGGAGCCCCCATGGCACATATGGGGCCACGGAACGTGTGAAGGGTGTGCCAAAATGGCGCGGCGGCGCTACGCGGATTGCGCCATTTGGGACATCGTGTGGGGCTCCATATGGAGCCACGAAACCTATGAGGGGTGTACCAGCATGGGACGGCGTCGCCATGCGGACTGCGCCACTGTGGCCTTCAGTGGTGCTCCCGATGGGGCCAACGTGTGAGGGGTGTGCCAAAATGGGGCGGCGGCGCCATGCGGACAACGCCACTGGGACCTTAGATGGGGCCCCCTATAGGGCCACGAAACATGGAAGGGGTGCCAAAACGGGGCGGCGGCACCATGCGGACGCGCCACTGGGACATTATGTGGAGCTGCACATGGGGCAACGAAGCGTGTGAGGGGTGTGCCAACATTAAGCCGCGGCGCCATGCGGATTGCGCCACTTGGAACTTAGGTCGCGCCACAGATG